ACTTTGTCACTGGACAGGAGGTTTGCAGTTGCAGGAAAAAAGAAAAGACTGGTAGATAGTTTATTGGATTGCCTGGCAAATGGCAATGGTCCTGCAATGCTCATACTCTTCATTAATTGCACCGTAGAGTTCCAACTTACAATCGTCCAGTTTCCATCCTCGTATTTAATATCTTACCCACCAATTTCTGCCTTTTTCAATTATTCAATGCTAAAAGCCTCTGTTCATAGACCTTTCATCATCATCCCCGCAACAATCAAGGCATTAAATGTTTCACAAAACATTTCAACAACATTATCTCCATCTCTCCTTTATTATTTTTGCATATACTTTCTTATATTTCTCTTACTTTTCATGCTGACCTTGTCAAAGGGTGATTTCCCGGTCTAAAAAATACGAAGCCCTTTCTCAACCAGAAGCCTTTTGTTTTGTATATCATCTATAGAAATTTACGTAACTTGGATCAGAAAATCAACCAATCTTAATCATTACTTGAGAAATGAGAAATCTTTTGGATATAATTAGTTTCAATATTATATGTATATTGTGGTTTTGAAATACAATGATTTGGTATTCATATTGTTGAGGCCTATAGATAGTTCTGTAGGACATTCCGGGTCAAAACTTGCGGTTTAAATTTCTGAAATAGGAGTAAATAGTTAGCTGGAGATTGACTTTTCGTCCCTGACACTTTAATATTCAATTTTACGTGAAAGTGATGACCGATAGATTATATTGTACACATCGTATCAAAGATTGACTAAACTTTTAAATTATAAAAGTATTGTTTGTTTGTTTGATGACCTGCGGCTGCAAGCTAGAATAGCTTCAGTTATAAGCTTTTTAGATCATTAATATTTAGTTAGTGGAGGTTTTATGCTTACCATCTGCTCAATAATTAATGACAAAAAGGTCAAGTCTCCTCTCCATCATTCACCGCAACGTCTATTATTCAACTTTCAATCGTGGTTTCTTTTTAGCCACACCCGCATCAACTGTTTAATCCATTATTGAAAGAATTAGTTGAACTCAACTCACTGCGGCATACTCAGATTACAAATTACTAATCTACTATAATCCTTTGTCATGATCAAAATAAACATATTTACTCGATGAAAATCCAAAAAATCAGAAGAAGAGAGAAACAGGGAGACAGTCATAGTTAAATATTATATGAAAGATGTTAAAAATAGTAGTAATCCAACTCCGGCTTTGTAAATGTGAATTAGAAACAAAATTTATAAAGGAAATGGTCCCTGAATGAGAGGTATAGAGGCCCACAAATAATTTAGCGAACAATGGGAAGATGAACACAGAGGTTGATAGGGGTTGAAAGTTAGGGTGTTACTGGTGAGAGTGGAGCCCAAATGCATGTGAATGTGATAGGTGGGGATGAAGCATTCAAGGACTTTTTCGGTAATTGAATTGGACTGATATATGACAAAGGATGAACAAGAAGAAAGCAACCAGAAGATCCAAAAACTATGTTTTTATTAAAATTTGCGATCTTATATATAAAACCCAACTGCCATTCCCTCTTTCGGATAGCATTTCACTTTCTTGACTTTAATGCCTTTCGTCCACACCTACTTGGATCCAGATATCTGTGATCCTCACGTGTATGGGAGACTCGTACAAAACCTAATTCATGTCCCACATGCACCACCGTCCTGTAATTTTTGCTTTAAAAATAATCTGGGTATCACTTTGTCACTCAATTTCCATCACTTCTAATAACCAATCCATAACTGGAATTAAAAGATTTTGCATATAACATATATTTATTTTGGAGAGTTTCCTCAAAAGACATGTTATATATACATATATCTTAATGTTCTCTATATACACTCCCAAGTAGAAACGCTACCTGGTTTTAAGGTCGTCTTATAACCAAAAAGTCAATCATGGAATATTTCCTCTTGTAGTTATGTTATGACTTGGTCTCAGAAATGTTTTTCTTTGACAACAATTTATCTGGGTGTTTGTTNAGATAATTATATTTATATGATATATTAAAAATGGTTTTAATCAATTAATGATAATATTAAGTGACTCAATCGTCAGCTACCTGCTTAAAGGTAATCTGACAAGAGACAAGCAGTTGCCAATTAATTAAGGGTGAACCTATATATACATATATATATATATATATTTCTTTGCGTAACATCAGAAGATGTCATTTATTCATCTTTCCTGCTGCTGTTTCTATCCACTTTATTAAATTTGATTCTGAGTTCGTTTGATGTATAATTAATAATCTGTTTAAAAAGGAGGGAATATTAATTAACATACATATGTTTCAAATTTCAGTGGAAGTTGATATTTATCTACTTTGTCACTGGACAGGAGGTTTGCAGTTGCAGGAAAAAAGAAAAGACTGGTAGATAGTTTATTGGATTGCCTGGCCAATGGCAATGGTCCTGCAATGCTCATACTCTTCATTAATTGCACCGTAGAGTTCCAACTTACAATCGTCCAGTTTCCATCCTCGTATTTAATATCTTACCCACCAATTTCTGCCTTTTTCAATTATTCAATGCTAAAAGCCTCTGTTCATAGACCTTTCATCATCATCCCCGCAACAATCAAGGCATTAAATGTTTCACAAAACATTTCAACAACATTATCTCCATCTCTCCTTTATTATTTTTGCATATACTTTCTTATATTTCTCTTACTTTTCATGCTGACCTTGTCAAAGGGTGATTTCCCGGTCTAAAAAATACGAAGCCCTTTCTCAACCAGAAGCCTTTTGTTTTGTATATCATCTATAGAAATTTACGTAACTTGGATCAGAAAATCAACCAATCTTAATCATTACTTGAGAAATGAGAAATCTTTTGGATATAATTAGTTTCAATATTATATGTATATTGTGGTTTTGAAATACAATGATTTGGTATTCATATTGTTGAGGCCTATAGATAGTTCTGTAGGACATTCCGGGTCAAAACTTGCGGTTTAAATTTCTGAAATAGGAGTAAATAGTTAGCTGGAGATTGACTTTTCGTCCCTGACACTTTAATATTCAATTTTACGTGAAAGTGATGACCGATAGATTATATTGTACACATCGTATCAAAGATTGACTAAACTTTTAAATTATAAAAGTATTGTTTGTTTGTTTGATGACCTGCGGCTGCAAGCTAGAATAGCTTCAGTTATAAGCTTTTTAGATCATTAATATTTAGTTAGTGGAGGTTTTATGCTTACCATCTGCTCAATAATTAATGACAAAAAGGTCAAGTCTCCTCTCCATCATTCACCGCAACGTCTATTATTCAACTTTCAATCGTGGTTTCTTTTTAGCCACACCCGCATCAACTGTTTAATCCATTATTGAAAGAATTAGTTGAACTCAACTCACTGCGGCATACTCAGATTACAAATTACTAATCTACTATAATCCTTTGTCATGATCAAAATAAACATATTTACTCGATGAAAATCCAAAAAATCAGAAGAAGAGAGAAACAGGGAGACAGTCATAGTTAAATATTATACAAAAGATGTTAAAAATAGTAGTAATCCAACTCCGGCTTTGTAAATGTGAATTAGAAAAAAAATTTATAAAGGAAATGGTCCCTGAATGAGAGGTATAGAGGCCCACAAATAATTTAGTGAACAATGGGAAGATGAATATAGAGGTTGATAGGGGTTGAAAGTTAGGGTGTTACTGGTGAGAGTGGAGCCCAAATGCATGTGAATGTGATAGGTGGGGATGAAGCATTCAAGGACTTTTTCGGTAATTGAATTGGACTGATATATGACAAAGGATGAACAAGAAGAAAGCAACCAGAAGATCCAAAAACTATGTTTTTATTAAAATTTGCGATCTTATATATAAAACCCAACTGCCATTCCCTCTTTCGGATAGCATTTCACTTTCTTGACTTTAATGCCTTTCGTCCACACCTACTTGGATCCAGATATCTGTGATCCTCACGTGTATGGGAGACTCGTACAAAACCTAATTCATGTCCCACATGCACCACCGTCCTGTAATTTTTGCTTTAAAAATAATCTGGGTATCACTTTGTCACTCAATTTCCATCACTTCTAATAACCAATCCATAACTGGAATTAAAAGATTTTGCATATAACATATATTTATTTTGGAGAGTTTCCTCAAAAGACATGTTATATATACATATATCTTAATGTTCTCTATATACACTCCCAAGTAGAAACGCTACCTGGTTTTAAGGTCGTCTTATAACCAAAAAGTCAATCATGGAATATTTCCTCTTGTAGTTATGTTATGACTTGGTCTCAGAAATGTTTTTCTTTGACAACAATTTATCTGGGTGTTTCTTTTGGCAACAGATGCCGTGGTTTATAAAATGTTCTGCTATATGCCTGCCTATATCATAATATGCTTTAGAATGTGTCTTAAGGTGAAAAACCACCAACATCACAGCGGTCTTGTCACGATATCAACAAAGCAAACAAATTAATTCCATCCCACAAGATAAAGATTTAGGTGATATTGATATACCCAAAAATCAGTAATCCATTAACCCACCTATCAAGTTATATAGCTGGCAGCTCGTAGCCGATGAAACCAAAATGTTGGGTTACTCTCCGAGCGTTTCACAGTCTGTCAGATACCATCCCAACAACGTGTCACATAAGAATTGGTTGGTACACGTAACCTCATATACAAGGCCAAACTGTTAGCATTAAATGAAAGCAACGCCACTCCCAACACTTTCTGCTTTCTAATTTAATGCTTACACCCCACCGCCTTCTTCCCTCTCTCCACCACCACACATACTCCACTTTCAAACCATATCCACATTTCCATTTATATAGAGAATTGAATGATTTAATTTTTATCAAAACCAACATATAATTAAGTTAACATCATGTCATTTCATTACAAGAAGAAGAAGAAGTCCAACAAAAATATAAAAACGCCTCCAAAAAGATCGATTAAATTAACTATCAGAAAACAGAATTTAAATTTAAACCACCTTTTTTTTTTTTTTTTTTTGGGGGGCGGGGGGAATATTTTCTACGTCTTGAGCCAAGTCAGGGGTGAACCTGAGTCAATACCCGAACCACCACCCTTGCCTTGTGTTAAGAACAGAGAAATTCCGAGTCCATGAGTCTTCGGTCCTATCCTATCCTTAACACCATGCAAGGAGTTTTGTGCGCGCGGTTCGTTCTTGACTCAACACCCCCTCATCACACACACAACCAACCAAGCTCTCTCCGTTTTTAACACACCACAACGTATTTTAAACACACACCCAATCCATGCACAACACACAACCCGATTCATTCATTGTCATGTTAAAAACGTAAACCTAACTAAGTGACTTCACCACCACGTGATGTGATGTCTTTCACTAGCTTTCACATTGAAGAGCAGCCTTGATCTTCTGAACAGTGCATGAGATTAGATTGTTTACAGTCTCCACCGACTCTACAGTGAGCTTGGCTGTAGGAAGACTATTCACCAAGATCTGGAAAGCCACTGTTAATAGGGACCCACTCACTCTAGGTGATCCACCGTTTCCATTAGTGGGTCCATTACCCATGGGCCCTCGTGAACCTGGACCATCTGGAACAATAGCAAACCCAGAAGGAAGGAGAGCCACGTAAGCTGAATCACCACCGTTCATAACAACGTGCATGGCGGGTATGTCAACGGGCGCGTACACAACAAGTGACCCAGCCGCGTCAATGCATGTCTCCTGCAGAATCAACATACTGCTCTGGTTTGCGTTCATAGCCTGAACAAAAAGCAAAATCGTTAGCCCTGGTTTCAGGAGAAATTTACAGGAAGTGCCATTTTTAACCCCCAATCATGTTATAAAATAACTTTATCAATCAAATCGATGAGGTCAGATGTATGAAGAAAGCTAGCAACTGTCCTATATATTGACTTTTTTAAGCGAGTTGTCTCTGTATCTGCCATGAAACTGTCTTTTATAGATACTTCCAAATTCAAAACTGTCCTCTTTTTATCTCTACACGACAAACTAATGCGTCCAATGAAAGTCACTTTTTTGTCCAAGATTTTAATATTATCCTTGTGCTCATTTGATTTCTTGTAGCAAAAAAATATCAACTTTAAGAGATAGATATATGGAGAGAGATTATTTACGCTAGCACGAAGGAGAGAGACGCAGTTGCCGTGGTCTTGTCCCTTGGCTATATGGGCCATTTCTTGCATCGGTCCACCATTGGAGAGTATGTCCCACTCACTTCTAAGCCGTTCATCACGTAGAAAATCAAAGAGTCTCTGTGGAGAGACAGGCAACCAAACGGAAGTTGCAGCGCTCAACACAACGCCCGGTGGCTCACCTGGATCATCAACGCTCTTTCTAGTCATAACTCTAACATCCTCATCCACATTACCAGCATTAAGTTTGCTCCATTTGTGAACAGTTGAAGCACAAACCCCAGCACAAAAGTTATCAGTCATTCTCTGGGCTAGCTTTAGCATGCTTCGCCGACCACTTGCAGTTATCGCTGCTACATTATATTAAACATGCTCCATAATCAATATTAAGTCTAATTTAAAAAAAAAAAAAAAAAAAAAAAATTTATTAGTATTGTTCATTATTGTAAACCTGTGTGATCTCTGGCGGAGACAGTGGAGGACATGAGAATCGCGAGGCATTCGCATTGTCTTTGAAGAGTAGCAACCCACCGTTGGGCACCGAACCCCATGCCCGAACTTACCAAGGGTTTATAAAGCTGGTGAACTTGGCTCTCATCATACTCTGCATGCTCGACCCAAGTCACCTGCAATATATATTTATTAATTATTTTAGTTGAAAATAAATTTCAATTTCTGGCCATAATCTTGATTACATCACGTTCATGGGATGAAATATTTCAGTCAAACATAGATCATTAAAACAAAGTGGGAAGAGAGAGAGTTTGGATTTTAATATTATAAATTTAATAGGTCACATTGACAAATGATATATGAATAATTATCTAGCAAATAAATCTCGAAAGTGGGTCAAGATTGGGCTCAATGAGGGAAATGCTGTGACAGAGACTTTGTGTATAATGCATAAAATATTGGTAGAGATAAAGTTATTTAAGAGTTAAGAAACAAAGGACAGCGTGGAGGGTTGCATCGAGATATGTACTGATGTCCACTCAACAAGTTTTAGATACTCGTAAGAAAACAAAATAGCCAGTCTTGGAATTTGACTTGAAGGTCTCCTCCCATTAAGTAAAAAAAGAAACACATCATGAGGCTGGAACCAGATCACACAGAGTTACATAGCTTAAGTATAAAATCTATTATGGGGATAACCGAGATGGCATCAAAGATTGGAATAGAAACATCAAATGTGTAGTTTATTACCAAAGTTGACAATTTCAAGGCATTTACAATATATGTGAAATTAATGTGTTCAAGGCACAAAAATTAGGGTAATAGAGGCTTCTATTCATAAATAATTCTGTAACCTCGATTTGCCCCAGTACGGGGCCTAATATTTTAGTATATGATTAAGCAAACCCAGTTGTTGAAACTTGAAATTGAAAATTAAAATGTTGCATACACAAGAATAAAATAACAGTTTAGGAAGGTTCAGATTCGTCGATAATCTTGATATATCTATATATATATATATATAAAATAAAAAATTATATGTATCGGGAAGCAAGCTAGGCACTGACAGTGTGGGGATACAGTGAGTAATCACTAGACAAACAAAATTCTTTGATGCATGAGCTCTAAGTAGGATTGGGAATGCAAATGCCCATGATTTTTTGACCTGGTGTTTTCCTCCAAAATTAAATGCTGTCAACTAAGCTCCAGTGTTGCAGTTAGTTCAACAAACTTCTTTTAATACTAAAGCAGAAGAAAGCCTACTCGGAAAATTAAAGGACATTAAATGCATAGAAAACAAAATAAAACCAGTGAATTACAAACCATCAATTCTAGAAAATTGCAATTAATTACCTTGGAGTAGCCATTGGGCATATCATGTACCACACAGCCAGAAGGAAGCCTCCTGCAGTTCACAAATGTGGGTGCACCAGAAGTTTCTCGGATGGAGTCAATGGATACATCGACCACAGCCCATACACCTTCTGCGTGCTGCTTGCAAAAACGGAGGAAATTCACCTCCCGAACAGGAACCAAAGGAGATAGTACTTGAAGCTCAGCATGCATCTAAAGCCAAAATGTTAAATAAACAATTGATCAAATATGTTCTAATTAATATACGAATGAGACTGCATTAGATAATTATATAGCTGTAACCTACCAACTGAAGTGCACCATTCCTGGTTCCTCCCATACCACTAGATATCACATCAGTAGTAGAGGTTCTGGCAATCATGCAAGGAAACATCTCCGCCCAGCGATTCTATGAAATTATAAACCAACAAAATTAAAAATCAATTACGGTCCAGAAGAAGAAAATAAAAAATAGGCACGACACTGTTTAGAGAACAAAAACAAAATAGACGAAGAAGAATTTTCTGACGAACAGATTGAAGCGAATCTTTAGAGAGAGCGCTGAAAGGTAATGCCTCTTTGCATTCAAGAAAGTTTCTTACCGGGTCCATCAAAGTCTCCACTAGTGCCAAACTGTTGATGATTACCATGCCAGTCTCCCTGGATGATTCACTGACAAAACCATTAGGTTTCAAGCCAATGCAAGGAGTGAAAGTTCTCAAGTATTCCTCCTGATTTAATACTTCTCTTCCTCCTTCTAGGCTTCTCATCCAAAGAGGCTCATCAGTTTGTGCCATCTTAACCAATTCATCCATAGCAGCCAAAGCAAGCTCCAAAAACATTGATCTCTCAATCGATCTATCGAAACCTACACCAGTAGTGGATCTGTTTGGAGGCATCCCCGACAAAGCACCTGAAATCCCACCTCCAAAATCAGGCCCCAGTGGCAATGTTGTGGTCACTGTGCTTAATCCGCCAAAACCATTGCTCCCAACTCCAAGTTCTAAACTCGAGTTTGGCATGCCAGGAGCAATTGTAGACAACGAAGATATGGGACGCCCCAAAAACTTGCCAGCAAGTGCACAAACTCGATCTAACTCGTCCTTTAAACGGGCATTCTCGATCCTCAAGTGCTGTTCTTCTAGAGATATGTCACCGATTATTGCAGGACCACCACAGTTGGTGCAAATTGGATTTCTCATTGCATCTCTAATGGACATATTTTCAGCTCGAAGCTTGTCGTTCTCTTGCCTAAGCAACGAGTTCTCATGACGTTCCAGTTGGGTCTGATGCAGATAATCACCAAAATTTAAGCTCACCGGCTAAATTAGACCTAACATAAATGATAAAACTAAGAAAAAAGAAAGAAAAAGAATCCTTGATTCTTGTTTTTACCTTCATCTGGGTACGGCGATTTTGAAACCAGAACTTGACTTGCCTAGTCTCCAAACAAAGCCTTTTACTAAGCTCCAGTCTTTGTTTCTCGTCGGGATGAGGACACTCTTTGAAGAGACTAAACAAAAACAAGAAGAGAGAAAAAATATCACATAAAAAGAAAATCTATGGAAATATTACTTCATCATACCACTACTAAAAAGATGATGAAGTGAATCGTACGATTCAAGTTCTTGGATTTGCTGAGGAGTGTGTCGGTGATATCTCTTCTTTCTTGGAGGGTTGTCTGCAGCGTCTAGATCATCACCAGAAGCACCATCCATGTTATCACTTCCAGATCTACTTTCATGCTCATCTTCTCTGCTCCTTCGACCAACACCTGTCTCAAAGCGTTCACCCATTCTTCCCATATCACCTTGGTTATCTATATTTGGTTGCTGCTGAAAAATCAGCACAAGAAAAAACTCGATCAGTTTCAAATAAAAAGAAAGCACAAACAACACAGAGTGAGAGAGAGAATATACAAGAGCGAGAGAGAGTCCAGGAGAGTTGAACATGGATTTGGTGATAGGAGGAGTTACAAGGCGGGGCTGAGCGAGTGCACTGGTGGGCATGTTGTTACTATATGGTATATCAGCAACGAGTCTTGAACCACCACCACCGGAACTATTCTCAAGAAAACCTCCAAAACTCATCAAAATAACTCCTTTTTTCTCTATATATGTTATCCCCCTTCCTCAGATTTGCTTCTTCTTCTTCTCTACAAATTTACAAACACTCTCATTCACTGTTTTCCGGTCTTTACCCAAAAATTGCAAAGAAAAGATGTTTATCAAAATATGTATATTATATATAAGGTGGCTTTGGACAGACCAACAAAAAAAAAGGGAAAAAAAAAAACTAAGAGAGGCAGAGGAGACAAAAGGATTGAAACCAAATGTCTCCAACTCCCTCTCCACAAAGAAGAAGTGTTGTTTATGGAGAGAAAGAAAGAGAAAAAAGGCAAGCAAAAGCCAGTAATTTGTAACTGCTTAGCTCTTCGTTCTCTATCCCTCTCTCTCTTTTTTCTTAAGAGTAAAACCTTCTCCTGTTCTCCCTCTTAAAAGTTTCTCCCTCTACCTAGGTCTGCCGAACACAACAAGTAGGCCTTAAAATCAACTGGTTTATGTTGAATAAAATGGGAACCCTAGTTTGGGCAAATGCTATCTCGTTCTCTGCATGCTTGACTATCCCACTATAACCTTCCCAAAGGAAATTAAAAATAAATAAAAAATAAAATAAGAAATAAAGCGAAAGACTTGCAGAGAGAGAAGGAAAAAAAAAGGAAAGGAGTATGAGAGAGAAACGGAAACAAAACAAAAAGGTGAAGATAAAACGCAATATGTGGACTCTTCGAAGCCTTACAAATACATGCCACCAAAAAGGGTCGGTTGACTCTCTCACTCTTTCTCTCTCCATTGCAAAAAAGTCTGTGATTGACAGTCAAGTAAGATATCTGTAAACCTTTTTAACTCTCCTTTCCGAGCACTGTGAAAATCTCAAAAAAAAAAAAAAAAAAAAGTTACAAAGACACAAGGTGAAGAAGGTTCAGATCCATTAGTATTACGGATTACCCTTCTTCTTCTGTCTCTCTCTTTCTCTCTCCCCCCTAAAACCAAACGTTGGGATCTGTAATAACATAAAGATTAGATTATAGACAAAAACGAATTAGGGTTTGATAGTGTTAAGTCAATGGGGTTAGTCTGTAAAAGCGTGTAGTAAGCAGTAAAGCAGGCGATGTTGGGGCCAGAGCCAGTGCCAGATTTGAGCGGCTTGGCACAGGTTTGGCGTAAAGAAACCCAACTTACAGCCGAATTATATTTGACAAATCAACTTAATTTCAAACTCAGTGACTGTTTTCGTTAAGTATATATAACGACAATGATTAAGAGTTAATTGAGGTGGTATATAAAGTTGTTATGCCTAAATAATCAGGGGCGTTTGATTGGTGATAATGTCATCTGATATTATTTGATTATCACGTTTGGTTGTTTGATTGGTGATAATGTCATCTGATATTATTTGATTATCACGTTTGGTTGTCAAGTAATATAAGATTGCGATAATCTTCAAATACTAATAGTAACTACTATTGGTAATATTGGAGGTAATCTGATTATCTCAATTTTCTTAGGTATTCTGAGATTACCAGGGTTATCCTTTTTTATTATAATTTTATCCCTTATTAATAAAAATTTTAGACAATAATGCCCTCATTTTAAAATAAATTTACATTAATATCCTATTTCAATTTTACCCTTATTTAGCTAAAATTTTGGACAATAATGTCCTTGAATTTAAAACAATTTACAAACCACTGCCACTCAGCCACCACCACCACTGCCACTCAGCCACCACTGCCTACAGCGGCCAACCACCACGGACCGCCTCAAAAAACTCGTTGGAGTCCCTAAAAAAGAACGAGTTTCGGTGGGAGGGTCCGTGAGTCATCGCTATGGCCATTTTCGGCCATCAATATGGCCGAAAACGGCCATATCGAAGCCTCTTGGTCACGGTGAGTTGCTGATGGGGACTTTCAGAGACTTCTGGCGGTGGTCTGCGGTGGTGGCAGGAGGTAGGGGTGATTTCGTAATAAATTAAAGTTTTATATAAGCAGTGGTGTTTTAACTAAATCTGAAATATTGGGGGTTAAAAGAAATTATTCAAAAATTAATAATAAAAATAATATTATATTAATATTTGTAAAGGGGACAATTTAGTAATTTAAATAACATACCCACCAATTTATTCCCCATAACCAACCATATTAATATAACATACCCACCAACTAACCAAACATATTTTCTTAAAGATTCCCAGTAATCTTTCAAGGTAATCTATCTTTCCAGTAATCCAACATTCCCAGTAATCTAACATTCCTGAACCAAACGCCCCCTCAGACGTAAGCTCACAATAGTAATCAGAGTTCAGAAAAACTTTGTGTCATCTAGACGTTGTTATGTCGCACAAGAACAAACAATGTAAGGTTGTCATCAGCGTGGCATGTGAGAGCTTGGTTTGTGAGTGGCTAAGAATTGTCTATCTGCTCAAGTCCTACGCGATTTAAGGATATCTCATGTACAATAAACCAATGAGAAGCAAGTTAGGAATTTTGCATGATTATTACCTTGATTCCCGCAACTATAAATCGAGGGCTCATCTTTTATTTACGAGATCCCCGATATTTTTAATCTTCTAAGAGCACTTTCTTTCTTTGTATTTAAATTCTCTCTAGATTGTAACTCGATTCGTTGTCCGCGACAATCATCCATCAATACAAATATAGTGGATATAGGATTTGCTTTTGAGCATTTGAACTACTTTAAAAATTCTCTTGTTTGTTCTTTCGTTGCACATTTACACGTGCATATTATGTGTAATTTATAATTCTGCTTAGCACTTTACACATGCGAGTTGTTAGTGTCAAAATCAAGCATCAACAAAATTGTTAAAAGAATTATGATTATCTAAATCCATTGTGTATGTATTGGATGATGGGGTTACTGTACAACAAGAAAGAAATTGAACATAAATGTTAACTGAATTACAAACATTCTTCATTTACATTGAAAACTAGTGTTAATAATTTTAACACTACCAAATAATGTTGCAGTCAAGGGTAATAATTGTTCTGTTTCACTATTATTGTTATTATTAAATAAATAACACCTCCTTTCTTAATTCTATAATTATAACAACCAAATTAATCGAGTTGGATATAATCTCAGGTTTTTATTTAATTTTCAACTTAATTATTTATTGTATTAATTAAGTCACCTTATAATTATTGCCTTATGTGTGTATAGAATTCACATATTGTTAACATAAATAAATACAGTGTTATGGTGGTAATTAACAATGATTGTTTTGTGAGAGATTACTTGAGGTTGAGGAGTCTTAATGGTTCATGTGAACCACAATCATATAAAATAATTATAATATTTTCTTTTAATTAATGCAACTTTGTGAAGGGTCAATCACTTATCGATTTCATTCTATATATTAATTAATTCATCATCCAAATTCACAGTTAAACTTTATAAGAACACAGATGGAAACTTGAATGCAGTAGTATAAATGAGTTATTACACATCCAACTTCTCCCTGTTCATCAATTATATGAATAATAGAGATTATAAAGAGGAGTAGCTGATGCCTGATGACTTTTATGTTTCTTCTAAGAATGGCAGATGCTATGTTTGCCTACAACAAAAAGGAACCGACGGATTACTCTTTACTTTTTTTCTTTATTGGTGATTGGGGGTCTCCGGGCCAGCTTGCGCATAGTTCAACTAATCATTCGGAGTCCTGAAGTTGACAACCGGATAAATCTCCTAAATAAGGACCTCATTTAACAAACTAGGTGGATTGAATTCAAAATCTCTTGAATAATACACTAAAGAGTTCTAGTTGAGACCACCACTTACGGGTGGTTAGATTACTCTTTACTTCAATCATCTTATAATTTACTTTTTACTATTTACAACAAAGGCAAAAACAATATATACTTAAATCTTCAAATTACTATTAATAGCACAATTGATGCAAGTAAAATATGAGAAGAGGAAAGGAGTGGAGGTGGGTAAAGGTGATGTAACAATCAACTGACCCACAACCCACATGACCTTTCACTCTCGATGGAGGTGTAATCCCAACCCAGGCGGACCCCTCCAATCCCCATCTCCCTTAACATCTTTATTTATTTGTCCACCCAAACCAATTCAATTTCTTTGTGAGTTTTACAATCCCCCGAGGCCCATCACACCTTTCCTATTCCCGTAGCATTTATGCCATTCCCGTTTTCCACCACACCACCTCTCTCACTGTCACTCTTTCAACGTAGAAATTTATGACTATTGAAAAGGGCACTCTTTCAACTTCAAACATTTTGAAGAGAACAATTTCTCATCCCTAAACTTACACAACCAAATTTACTTCCATTAATATTACGCCTTCGGTCCCAATTAACTATTTTGGGCTGCAATGGGAAACTACATTAAATTAAATAATTGGATCTTAAGATGGGCCTCCCTTATTTTTTACAGACATTGTATCAAATCTGATGTGCCGTCGGCCCCCTTTGTCCGTTGCTCCACCGTTTTCAGATATTTGCCTCGTCATATCATTAAGTAACGACAATGAATCCTTTCTTAAATTAATTACAACTCACACCAATTTTAGATAAAAGACTATGATGTGATGCCTGAAGTCAGAGACTGTGGATCCCGTGAGGTGAGGCTCCTCCTCAACCATTGTTATATTTATTTTTATTCTTTGTGAAATGAGGTAAAACATAGAATTACAGAGATTAGACTACAGATTGTCCATATTTCATTAAATCATTAACACGTGAAAACAGTGGAGGGGCCACCCTTACAACTGTGTAAACACGAGCATGGAGGTTGGATTTTGTTGCGAAGCATGAGGCAGCGTTTAGGGGGTCAACCCATATCACATTCCTCCACCTATTCACTGACACTGACCCATCCCTCCACCTCCACAATAGACATAATCTCAATCTTCTGATTAACAAAACTTCAATCTCAAATGCTATTATCTTATTGCTTATCATTGCCATTGATATCTTGTATACTAACATCAAACTGCAGAGTCTTTTAATTTAATTTTTTTACTTTCACAAACACATTCTAACCCTAGTGTTTCGTAAAAAACACAAAACAATTGTGGAACAAGTAAACTACATCGTTTGATGTAATGGAGATAACATATTGGCTTCAATTAAGAATAAAAATGACAAGAAACGAATAATACCTATTATTACAGACACCAAAAACTTTCTGTCAGTGGGACGTTGACGGTAGCTTCCAAAAGTTTTTGGTTGCAACAAGAATCTTCTCTCGCCCATTTGATTCTGGTTCTTTCTCATGTATGGCAGTTGTCCAACTTACAGCATGAGCTATGCGGCTTACTTTATCAATGACTTCAGGAGAATCTCTAATAATCACTGTTCCCTCTGGACGCAACATTCGATCCATCTCAACCATTAAATCTACTATGCTACACCTGCAGTAGATTCATAAATGATGATGAGCATTTAATATCAAAAGCAGACTAAACATTTATCCAATGCCAGAAGAAAATGTAAATTAAACATCACATTAGGGTATAAGATAGATAAACAATGCCTGCTTTTATATGGGTCCAGGTCTTCAAACGATAACAAAATAAGGTGCAAAAAAGAAAAATGAGATTATTTGTAGAACTGGAGTCAAGTTTAGCAATAACAGAAAAAATATGTGAGCAATGAGCAATAGTTTTGATCAATATTAACCAAGATTTTATGAGATAAAAAAAGAATGAACGGGTACTGGTTGCATTTGACTCATTTACAGGCAACTGACTGCAGCATGCAAACTCAAAACAATTCCACGGAGCCACATGCCAACCACAAAGGATGTGAAAACCAGCCCACCTATTGTGAATTCTGATTCATTGGATCATATATCCAAATAATTTAAACAGTATAAAGGAAGAATAATAGCATTGATTTATCACAATGCATTAATTGTCGCAATTGAATAATCCAATTTATAAATAACAAAGATTTAGGGGCTGTAGCATCATCCTATCTCTATTAGATAATTTAAGTTTTTGCCAAGCCAATATTTGATAAACTAAATATAGACATGACTATATCTCCAAACACCCAAAGACAAAGGAGGGACAACGGGAGAATTGAGCATATCTTACATATGTTCAGCAATAAGCAACAAAAAACCCTTATGCCTTTATCTGGAGAACTAACACTCCCAATGAAAGAGTTAACAACATACTAACTCAGGCAAGCAGTGGTAGTAATTTGTGGGCATAATACAACATACTATGCATTAAAAGATAGTATGTTTCAATATAATTCAACCATGCTCTTCCCTTCAAGAGCCACAAATACAAAGAGGAAAGAAAAGGAAAAAAAATTTGAAGGATAAGTTCAAACACCAAACAGGGTCTTATTAAAGCAGTTGGCTCTGTAAAGGAATGTTTGAGCAATTAACAGTTTTTTCGGCATAAACCATAAACATATAACATATGTTAAGAAAACAAAGAAACATAGTGTTGAAGAATAAGATTATAGATCATGTATACCTGTTCTTCCTTAACCCTGGACTTCTTATTAGTGATTCAATACCAGCCACATGGATTAGATCATAAGTACGGGGATATGTTGAAAAAGGCTCACACCTATCAAGATTAATCAGAAATAGTGTACGATTAGTAAAAAATTTCAATAAACTAACATCAATCCAATTAAAGACTGACAGAAGTTAAAACATGCCATGCCTGAAAGAAAGGGGCAGTGATCAAGAAAACATGCAACTAGGAATGAAAATTGAGCACAATAATAAAGTAAAAGTTCAGTTGAAATCCAAGATATATTTAACTCCTTGTACGAAACAATTTCATATGGGTAATATCAATTGCAAATTATCCTAAATTTATAATTCGTTCATTAGAGTTTCAATAACCAAGACTGGCCTGATGCAAGCTAAAAGAATTCAAGTGGAATTACTAATTGGAGAAAATATTTTGTTTCAGATATATTAGCACAATAGAAGACTTGACCAACAGAGAAAAACTCTGGTAAAACTAACCAAACAACTAGCATAGCAAGTGCCAGGGAGGCCATAAAAAGCGGCTTTAATAACAAATTTTTTATTTTTCCCCCCTCTCTTTGATAGGAAGGGGAACAGATTTGGTAATTAGTATTTATCATATGTAACAATTCTTGTCACTTTTGTTTGCAGCTGTAATCAAAGAAAACACAAAGACAAGCTGAAAAGAACTCACCAGTCATGATAGACTCCAATAAGGCCTCTGTCATAAATTACACTGAGAGTTGATGGTTTGCGAGCAGGAACAACATTCATCACCCAGACAGGATCAGATGCAACAGCGGCTGCAAAACCTCCAAAAAATGCATTCATGTCCATGATATTGCGTACAGCTGGAGTTCCTAGCTTCATGTTCAAAGATTTCTTATAGTAAGCAACTCTTCTTGACCATCGCCTTGTGTCAGCCTCGAATACATCATACCCGTTTTTCATGAACCCAGCCCTTGAAGGAGTTCTTTTTAGCCGCTCTGGCCACTTCGCGATTGTCCCAACAGAATATTCTCCTTTCACCGAAGATGTCCTACTGACACATTTCTTTAACTTAAAATACCTGCAAATCATCCAAGCTTAGGTTTAGACTCCTGGCTTGAAATATATACCATGCAGCTAAATCATTTGCACGATAAAAAATCAAAATGGAAAGAAAGAAAGAGAACAATTCTGTTAAAGTCTTAGTTTCTATATATCTTATAAAATTCTAAGAAACTAAGAATGTATTATGAGAACCATTACCATGCATAACTTGGGTCATCCGATTCGTCACACAATTCAAGCCCAAACTCATTCTGGTTGGGCAGACATGATTCTCCGGTGGGCTTCTTCCAGATGACAGTGTTTCCATCAACAGCAATCAACTCATAACATAAGGCTCTTGCCACAGCCTGGAGGTCTGCCCACTCCTTGTCTTGTTTAGGCCACTGTACTGGGGGACCAGAGATGACTAGGTATCCACCAGGCCTAAGTAATCGATCCACCTCAACGAAATAAGTTGCATCTGCAAAAGCAAGATTTCTACATAAAAGGGAGCATAATACAGGAAGCAGAGAAGAAATACAAACCAACAAAACAAAGAACTCACTATAGGCAGTAAAAGGAATCAAACATCGAGAGCAATGCACAAAATCAAATGAGAATGCAGGAAATGGAAGTCTGCGAGTGCCAAGCATGGCAACAAATGCTGGAATCCCTCTTTCTAATGCAAACTGTATCTGCGCTTTGTGCGAATCTCTAGGAGCGAAGGAGAGGGTTAAAATATCTTCCGCCAACATTGATCCCCCAAAACTGGCAACCTGCAAATGGATTAAAATTTAAAGATCTCCAAATGATAAAAGAATGAAGAAACGATAAAAAGAAAAAAAAAAATGAACACAACTCCTACCCCGCATCCCATATCAAGGGCAGTCCTCAGAGTTCCCCCATTTATAGGAATGTACTGTTTTAGTTTGTCAATGTACTTGTCAGCACCTTCGGTGAACATGGTGCCACCACCAGGGAAAGTGAAGTAGGGGCCACTCTCTTTCATCCAACCTTGGTGACCTTTCCTGTCTGCAATTTTATTGTATGGCATGTTGGCATGCCATATCTGCACATTATACAATTAAACTTTCAGGAACCCTACTTATTAACTGGTGATAGTTAGATGTAATTCTTTTATTGATCTAGCAACTATTGATTCATCATGAATAATTAATTACAAAAAAAGCAAAAAATCTCGAACCTTGCCCAAGCTCTCAGGCCAGCGAACAGGAATTTTATAGCCATCAGGAGGAGGGATCAAACAAAGCGGGGTTTCATCCGGTAAGGGGCAATGCCTTTCTCTATAAAAATTCATTTCTCTACTGAGTTGGCTGTTGCGCCTCGGATCCTCGCAAGGCATGTGGTCTACTGAGTCAGCAGGACAGGACTCGATAGGTTTCTGGTGATGACCGGCTCCAATTAAAGCCACCAGTCGCTGCCGCTGACGTGGATCGGAAGTGGAAAGAAGCAACGCTTGTCGGCCCGATGCGGCAAGAGAATCGCCAAGTGGAGTGAAGACTAGGAGGAAAAAGAAGAGAACTAATCCAAAGAAAGAGGCGGTGACTATGTCTAGGAGTTTCCATTGGCGAGCGTTACGTTTAGATGCAGGTAAACTAAGGTGACCCATTTGGATGCGATCTGATTGATTAAATGCACATTTGGATGCCCAGAAATAGATGTTCCAGGGTTTGTTTGTTTGTATTTGAAGATCAAAAAATAAGTTAAGTTGCAACACAGAGTCACAAAGAATGCAAGTGTTGCAGGGTTTTGAGAGACTTGCAGTGTGTGAAAAGTGATGGTGGGAGCTATTGCAAAACGCTACATTAGGATGACGGTGAGGGATTGTAAGTTTCAACTTTCAACAAAGCAGCATGTGGTGAGCAGCCGGCCAAACAAAGGAAAAGTAATATATATTTATATATACGCGCTAGATTTATACGTTATTTAATGGAAGATTAAAGGATATTAGATTTTCTTGGTTTAGTTGGATACTTGGATCGTTCCTTCGGTAACGAATGTTTTTCAATAGTGGCAGTCAACAGTATTTGATTTATAAATTGAGTAATACTATACTCACAAATCTTTTTAAATAAAAATCTTTTTAACATATCAACTCGTAATTGATCAGTTCGTAATAAGTTTCATCTGTCCAATAATAGATCTTGTTTGATCAAATATGAATTGATCAATTACAAACTATCACGTCAACATTTGTGAAAGAAAATTGTGAGAAATGTTGTTAATCCTATCTTTATTCTCATAAATTATACAATTAACCAAAACATAGGCATTTGCACATGTTAAGCAAGCGGGATTGATGTTCTAATAAGTAAATAACCATCCATTTCCAAGATGCTATAATCAAACACTCTTGCTTCTTGTGCTCATCAAGCCTTATCTATCTCTTCTATGGGCCGGACTATCAGTTCCACCGATGTTGAATTAATTTTTTAACTTTGGGATAAAACAAGCGCACGACAAAGTTATTTAAAATAGTCCACTCCAACTCTCTTCCTCCTGATCATTTGTATTACCAAACTAATGCTAATTGACCTGTGTACGAGTCAAGTTTGATTTTACCACTTTCGGAAATGTATTAGACTTTTGAAACATCTAATTATGTTTCTAGAGCAAGGAGTAACGTCAAGCCAAATAAACCCAATTTGAATTTGAAATCGATTATCAAGGCTTAATAAATAACTATCGGGAAAATTATAAGCTCGCTTACACATCCAGCAGAATGCTCTAGTCTATGCTGTATCGATCTAGAGAAATACAATAAACAAATCAAATCAACAAGTCTCCAGTATAGTTTTCAATTTTAGTTGAACATATTCAACATATCACAATTGGCAGGCATAGTATAGCGGCAGCAAAAAACCTAACCGATTGAAAGTAACAGCTAAAAGGAAAACGAATAATGGCAACTTTTAAAAATAATTCTGAGTATATACAGTAAAGCAACCGTCAGATGTTTGTAACTGTTGATCATGAATCCTAAATCCTCAAAATTCAATCCCCCATGAACAACCAATCTTCTTTCAAAATGTCGAAGAACCTTGCTTCCATACTAGTAGACCGAGCAAAGGAAAATGAATCCAGTGATAGACAACCTTGGCCAATCGTCCAGCAGAATTAGGGATTCAAAGTTTCCTAGAAGCCCTAAGATTGTATTCAAACTTCAGAAGATTTGCCCTCAGCAACATTGCCCTTACATCCTGATCAAATTCATTGCCAGTCTGCAAAACCCGTTGGAAAGTTGCATTTCTTTGATCCGCATGTCTTGCATACAGAATCTTGTTGTGTGAGTCAATGCGAGCCTGCAGAGATGTGATAGGGTTGATCAAGAAAAACAATACCAAACATTTAAACCCAAATTCTTCCAGAAGAACTCGATTCTAAGCCAGGATTCACAGAAATCTGAGAACTAATTTCTTTCACGTTAAGATTCATTGGTATAGGAACAAAGTTTTGTATATCCACACTCGATAAGAAATTCTATGAGAATTGCAAGAGGTGTTTGTCTCACAATGAGCCCCTAAAGGATACCACAATCAGAACAGCAGGAGTATTGTACTGTTAAAAATCTAAGAGAACTGTTGGGGTACTGACATTGTTGCATTAACACCATAGACAATTAACAGAAGAGTATAACTGAGTTTTCTGAACTCTCATTAGTCATGGAATATTTTATAATATTCAGATTGAAGCATCTATACAAGAAAGAAATATTGAAGAAAACAGCAATCATACCTGTATCTGGTTGTCAGTAATCAAGGTTTCAAGTTCTTTCTGTAGCCCCGCAACACTTGTTTTGAAAGCATTTGCCATCATTTGCAAATCAACAGACACAAATGGATGTGTATACTGGATAAGGGCTTTATTACGGATTTGATCATATAATGTCTCAACATGGTCATGCAAATGGATATCAAGTAACAGGTTTGCTTTTAGATTTCCAAGGTAATCCAGACATGAAGCGTAATGGCTGCAATAAGAGAATAAAATATAAAAACTAGAACAAGGCAGAAAAAAGAGATATACTACCCCAAAACACACCATTCACACAAAAGGCCCACCAACAGCCGATCAGGACAAGTACTCATGTCACTAACTAGAAAGTTAAAAAAAAAAAATGCTCTAAGCAGTGAGAAAACTAGTTACAATAAATGCAGATTTAGAATGGGAGAGAAAAGGCAATAGAGAAAAAGGCAAACAAGAATTTATGCTTTGAATTAACAGAAATGATTAATAAAAGTCTGCATCAGAGCTTGAGGCACTACTGCAGAATTCACTAATTAGCTGCCCATAAATTGCGACTTCAATAGATTATCTTTTCTCTTCAATTAAACATATATAAAGCCAGCTTGCAGCAACATGTCCAAAGATCAAATGAACGAAGAGATTGAATTTTACCTTGAGTAGAAATCATTAATAAGCTCTCTAACTTCAGGAACCAACTCCAAGAAATTCCGGAAGCTCACGTTGTCTATAACTTTACTCTGCCAAATAAAAACATTGAGTCAATAAACGATCTCCAAAATACAAACTAATGGAACCCGGATAAACACAATTATCAGAGGAAAAAAAAGAAAAAAAGAACACATGCTTTGAGCTCAGCCCGATCAAAACTTGCAAGAGCACAAAGTCCCCCATACGTTGCAACATCTTGAGAAGCAATAACCTCATTGTAGCTACTTCCCAGATCAGGACCCACTTCCAAGAACTGCACACATATGAAATACAAGTAAAAATACATTTCTTAAAGACGAATATACAAATTATCTTAACATGCACCTCATACAACTTCTCCACCTAAAAACAATTCCAAAAGAAACCAAAAGTGCCCAAACTCATTTCATCGAAGTCACAGTCCAACTGAAATTCGGTTAAATAATTCTCAACATTTACACAAGTTAAGCACAAACACTAGACTAGTGAAAGATCAGTAACATTCAAAATGGACAGAAATGGATGTTAGTATAGGAATTGACATACCTTACGAGCTGCATGCTTGTACTTTTTAGCCTCCAAATGAGCTAATCCTGCAGCACAACGTAGTTTTGCAACTGTAACAGGTTCAAGAGCCTCTGGTGTTTGCTCCGCTTTGCTAACATAGCTTGTCACATGGGTAAATTGACCCATCTCAATGCTAACCAAAATAGCACTCATACACATATGAATAATATGCTTCGACGTAGTGCAATAATCACGAGTACGAACATAACTTTTAAAAGCATCCCCAAGTGCACCATGAGCATAGTAAAAATCTCCAAAATCGTTGTATCCCATTCTTATGCTTTCTTTAATTAAATTTGTCTGCATTGACAGTGTATTAAATTAAATTATTCATATATAATGATGAACAGATCCATGAATATACATATATGTACCTTTCTTAACTTTTTATTAATTACTAGTATTTAAAATTTTAACATTAAACAAGCTCATACCCTATAAGCATTGAGTTCGTTCTCAAGCTTCTCCTTTCGCTGTTCGGCTCTGCGATCCACCGAATCACACCAGGCCACGTCCATGGTATAATTGGGGCCCAGTCTTCCATCAATTTTCTGCACAACCTCTCTGAAGAGCTGTGTGTTCTCCCCTTTCTTAATCTCATCGTAGGCCACTCGTAGAGCCTCGAGCTGCATCGAAGCGTTGTCGCAGTGTTCGGCAATAAACATAAGGCGTGTGATCTTAGTCCTCCCTTGGTAAAGGCTGGCGTAGGCTTCGATGTCCAGCTGCTCACCGCTTATGATTGGCCTGCTACGTGCCGATTCCTCACCGCCGTTAGAATAGATTTCCTCCATCATTGCATTTGATTGTTCGTCTTCGGCTTCCATTGCGTTCGAAGGGCAATTTTTAGGGTTAGGGTTTGGTTGATGGAGAATTTCTTTCTAATTCTCTTCTTCAATCTTCACGGTGGTGACAGAGTGGGGATTTTGGTGCAGTCCGTGGAGAGGGAGATAGGTCCGCACGGGCTTTATATTCGCCCACCCTTATATACATCAATACCTGATAAACGACCCGTTTAGTAAACGGATTACTCAGTTCACCCATACAACTTTAAGCCCAAGCCCAACACGTAAATTTCTACGTAGTGCTTTCTATAACGTGTTAATGTGCACTATCTTTATTAAAAAATAAAAAATATATAAAAATTGATAGGTTATTATAAAATCATTTTTATTAATTTTCATTATTCAATAATTGTATGGCTGACCCATTGAATTATATATCTGTACGAGACCTCCACCTTGCAAAAAACTGTGCTCATTGTTCATTTGAATATAATTTAACAACAAACTCCTTTTTCCATAACTCTAGACTTTTCCCTTCTTGGTTTCTAGCAAAATAAATCTTCAAGGTTAATATTTGATCGATAGTTTCAGGATCTCGAGAGATTAATTGAAGTGCACATAAATTAAACCGAACACCCTCAATCATAAAATAAAAAATTAAAAAAAAATCTTAAAGAATAAACTGTCAAAGAATGGTTGAAAAAAAATACAATTAGTATAGAACAGATTATTCTATTCGATTTTCAACTTCTAAATAAATACCAAAATGAAATCGTTTACCATATACGGGCGGTTATCGGTGAAACTCAAAGTATAACATAAACTCTAATTTACACTCAAAAGTATAACACAAGTTACACAACTATAATTTCACAGTTATATATATATATATACAATTGATAACTTGGGAGTTATATATATCACTTTCACTGCCCAGCCAATTATTATTTATTCTTATTGGCTTGAGATTACAGTAGACAATAACCTATAATCTATAGCTTCTGTTTTTCTTCTTCAGAAACCTTCTAGTCATTTTTGCTCTCCTGGCATTATGAAATCCGACTCCGGCCTCCCCTCATTTGATGAACCATCACCTGAGACGGTATCAATGAATCTCCTATGTCATAAGATTGGTAGACTGAAAAATGGATTAATATGAAACAATACATGCAAGAACATTACAGATGAATATATATATATGATATACCCGTATCTTGGGAGGTGTTAAAGGAGAAAACTGTGATTTGAAGAACATTAGGAAATTGATGATCTTGAACGCAAAGCCTCAGACCATTGATTCCCAGCGGTTGTTGACCCCAATAGCAAACCAGGTGGGTAATAACAAGTAGCAAAGCAGCTACCAGGCAAGCAGCAACCATCAACATTCTTTCTTCTTTCTTTAAGTAGTAGTTTTGAGTCTAGCGCGATATACTGCTACTGGTAAGAGAGAGCTTTTTGTTATATATAAACATGGCGTCCTCATATTGTATTGACTCCTTTTCGACTTTAAAAAAATATCAGATCTGTCAACAAACTTGTTAGATTATAGTTGAGCGTTAGCATATATTAAGAACATTTAATATAGACGTACGTAACAGGAGAAAAAGCTTATCTGAACTCCAAAATAAGGTTAGAAGAATGAATAACTGGTAGAGACGACAGCTAAGTTAACTTCATCAAATTAAGTTGTGCTTTTTGTCCAACTACAAGTAGCGAGGATTTCTAATTTTAGGGAAAAAAACAAAAAAAGTCAAACAGCTGGTAGCTCATTGTTATTGTCCAGTGACACACTGACACTGACTGCTGCATGTCAGCTTAATTTCTTTCACGCCATATATTAATAGACGTGTTTACTGAACCTAACTGTGCCATTAAAGACGTTTTAATTGAAAATAAAACGTTAAGTAATAATCAGTCTTGGATCTTCGTATGATCTGTATCGTCTGCTGTTATCTTTGCCCTTGTTAGCCAAAAAAATTATTTATTCAGACGGAGACATATTAACCTCTGAAGTCAAAATCCTGTTCAACTAGAAGCAGCCCTTTGAAACCCAAAACATAGGAAAAAGAAAAAAAAAAAAAAAAAACAAACCAAAGATTTAGGACATGACATGAGGTTTAGAAACAAGTACTACTTGTAGGAGTTGGGTGTTTGTTTTCATCTTAAGATGGATTATGCTAGGAGACAATATCTTTATTGCTGACGGGGTCCAATTCGGCTACACATGATTCTCCTAAATATCCTTATTACTGATTAGATAAGAACCGAATAGATTAGAATAATTATTCCATGTTTGAAACTAAGCTGCAATGACACCTTGCAATAAATGTATGAATTAATTGAAGTTACTTCAGGTTTGACTCTGCCCCTGTTGATCCCAATAGTTCCTTGGCTGCGACATATGCAAGAGAAGCTCGTCTCTGACCAAACCAGTGACACTACTGGTCATGATCCAAGGGGGATGCTTCGGGTAGTTTTCTCTTAGCAGCTCCTGGAAACTCCTGATATATATTCTCGTGGGGCCTTCTTCCTTTGGCCACCTTTATCTTGTCACATTTTGTGAAAACAAAAGTCAAATAGATGCGTTTGTTTAAATATCATATTACTATTCTAAATCAAAATATATATTTATTCCCCATTTTTAAAATACATTTTGATTTGGCATATGAATAGGGTAGAAAAATAAATACGTAGTTTAATTATTTAAAGTAATATTTTTAAAATATTATTATTAGGAAGAGTTAGGTGGTTATTATGAGGTAGAATTTAAAAAATAAAATTAATTGCGACTGCATTTGTTTCACAACTTTTCCCCTATCCTATCCAAAATACATATTTGTTTCCTTATTTTGAAAATATTATTCTATTTTATTCAATTATTTTTAAACCCCTAAGTTTGTTGATTTAACGAAACACCCTTAATTTTTTTTTTTTTTACAATTTGATAAAAACATCACATCAACCCACATTTGCCATATTCGGGCCACCACTACCGAAAGGTGACCGAAATCTGGTATAATGACACACTATTGACTAGATCTGGTCAGTAGTGCGCCGAAATAGCATTTTCCAGTCAGATCCAAGCTGAATCTGGCCGGAAAAAGTCAGATCTATGGCTAGATCTGACCATTGATGGCCATATCTAGCCGCGTTTGGTTGTCAACGACGGCCAAAGATAACGCCAGATCTTTGGTAGTAGATCTAGCATTTTCCGACCAGATTCACGATGAATTTGGTCGAAAAAGGCTATATTGACGCACTACCGGCCAGGTGCGCCATTATACCAGATTCTGGCCACCTCCCGGTGGTGGTGGCCAAAATCTAGCAAATGTGGATTGGTGGGGTGTTTTTGTCAATTTCTAAAATTTTTTTTTGAGGGTATTTAATTAAACTAACAAACCTAGGGGGTTTAAAAATAATTGAATAAAATAGAATAATATTTTCAGAATAAGAAAACAAATGTGTATTTTGGATAGGATAGAGGGGAAATTGTGAAACAAATGCAGCCTATTGTTTCCCTATTCTCAAAATCATATCCTAAACTATTCAACTATTTTTTATTTTTAAATTTTACCTCATAATAACCACCCAACTCTACCTACCAATAATATTTAAAAAATAGGACTCCAAATAACTAAACAAATGCACCCGAACACAACAAAAATGCAACAAATTAACGTGAGAAAGTTTGGATTTAAGCTTGCCTCAACAAACTAGATATAAGAACNTAAGTCAACACAAAAACATTGACGTTAAAACAAAACTAAAGCAAAAGCATATGTGAAAGAACTAACCATTGGGATCTGCATATCCAGAAACATCCATTTTTCCATTGCAGAAGACAAAAGAACACATGTTAACAAGAGATATAAACAATAAAGAGAGATTAATGGAAGTTAACAAATGAGAAGAAAATCAAAACAGACCATTCATCCAGTTCTTCGGAGGCTGGAAATGGTAGCCAGTTCTGTAAGGTTGACTTTCAGAAGTGGATTCAGAAGTTTGAAGGTTTTGGTAAACATGGTGAGATGCTTCAAGCTCAACAACACCTTGGCCAAGAAAAAGAGAGAACAAAAGGAATAGGCAAAGAGAAGAGATGGCCATGGTGTTGGTTGGTGGCTTAATGAGTTCTGAATGGGGGGCTATATAAAGATCGAAATTCTGTTACTTTAAAAGACATGAAAGGGTTCTCTGATTGGTGGCTGTGAACAGTAAAATAAAATTAAAAATTGAGGAGACGGTCAGAGACTCAGACGAAGGAGATTGGAAGGGGTGTGTGGTTTAGGTTTACACCAAGGCAAGTGAAAAGTCAATCTTTGTATTATTCCTTGATAGAAATATGGGGTTGATATAATTAGCGACTTGAAGTCTCCATCTCATATGTTTCCAAATGATAATTCTTTTCAAAGTATAATATAATCCAACCTTGAATATACATTATAAAATTAAAATTTATATTATGATCAAAGTTTTATAAAATTTTGTCTCTTTTGTAGTTCGGCTAACTCTCTTAAAGCAATAATTAACCCTTGTTAACCATCCTTGGGTGGTCGGATGGGAGGATAGGAATTCGTGAGTATATTATTAAAGAAGTCTTGAGTTTTATTTCCCCCAATTACTAATAGGGATAACAGCCAGAGATTTACCCGATCGTTAACTTCAGGATCCTAAAAGATTAGTTGAGGTGTATGCAAACTTGTCTAAACACCCCCGGTTACAAAATAATAATAATAATATTAGTTGGAGTTTATATTAGAACAATCGGTGAGATCTATCCATGCTGTACAATCACATTACTAACAAAAGAACCTATAATTCAGTTTATAAGTCTGCATGAAGCCAAAAAGGAATCAAGGCGGGGCCAAGAGCAATCTTGCCCTGATGTTATGGATCATGCAGGCATGAAATTAAACTTGAATATATGTTAATTAATACTGTTTCTTTGTAGGCATACAAGTATACAACTAACCTGTTAAACAATTTCAATCCAATCCATATGACATTTTATTTCTAGAAATGTAAAGTAAAATTATTTAAGAAATAATATGTATCTCCAAGTCTCAAAACTTTCATGAACATCATGTGGCATGTTTTTCCAAGGTTTTCTCTGGAAGTTAAAGTTCCGGTTTGATTAATTAACAAGTCAGGGTAATTACTTAATTGGCTTAA